GGATGCTATAGTTGGCTTTACCGTTAACTGACAACAAAGTRCTTTCTTAAAATTTGGCATATACACAGATTTAGAGGWCAGTATATCAYAAAATAAATTATAMTATAAAAATCAAATATTTAATATTAAAMTTTTCTTCACATTGTGAAAATCTATTTCAGGTAATTCAGTCATTTGCCTCATGTTGGCATGGTATATTTTTCTATATAGTTCATAAAATTGCGCGAGCTCTCTGAATTATTATTTTTTTCGTTTAGCTTCAGTGACTGTGCCKCGTCTAACATCGCCGGCACTTACACTGGCGACATTTGTGACAATTATATTTGCGATATTTGCGGTCATTTTGATCCTAGAGAATAACGTTAAATGTAATCTTTTATTCAATGCATTAAGCTTACTTAAACGTCCCTTCAGAAGGACAAGACAAAATCCATTACATTTTTTAAAAACACTCAAAAAACGCCCTAAAAATCRCAGCAAAAATTGCCAATGCGAACCGGGCTTTACAAAAATAAGCGAGGGCGAATTTATGCCTATCTTGTTGTGCATGGAAGGCGGAGTTTATCAAATTATTAAAGTATCTTTTACGTACATGAGTCCACAACTATGATTGTCTCGATAATTTAGCGTGCTTTCGAATTTGACAGGGTTGTATCTTAAGTGGCCCACGAGGTCTGTTTTTGTGTATTCGGATCGTCGGAAACAATAGCAGACTGAAATGCAGCAATTTCAATGTTTTGACAACTTTCGGCAGAATTTGTATTAACAAAAGACCACATTTCATAACAGTAATTGTTTTGAGCTAATGAAAAAAAAATTTTCTTTATCCGGGCAGACAGTTTAATTAATAATGGGCTGAAATGTATAGCGTTTTTATTGCTGAAAAAGTTGTAGAATTTGTATTAAAAAATCTAATAAAATGGTAATAATAAAATAATAAATGGCTGCTTGGTTTTGAAGAATTTTTCAAATGGAAGACGAGCGAATTTATGGGTTACCAGTCCGTCTCTAAGCTATATATTTAATAATTTTCTAATACTGGTATGGTAGAAAATGTTCAAAATATAATTTAGCCTCAAGAAGGCAGGCTATTCAACTGTTCAAAGGTATGTGGGTGGACAAATTATACCGCTGTTCAAATTAAAGTTAACAGATGCAATCTTTAGTAACTACTGTGGGTGGAATAATAAGAAAAGAATGGCTCGATTTGGTAAATGGGTGAAAAAATACAGATTAGAAACGAATTTCAGTTCCATTTTGTTCTGCTAAAGCGGGGGCGGTTTTAGACCAATAACGAAGGTACTAGGCTGAAGCGTCACGATGGCAATTTAGTCCTTTATTTTAAAAACAAAACGTAAAGTGCAACGGCGACAGTTTAGCTGGCTGGATCATTTACTCAGTGTCTATGAATTTATCAAGTAAGTCTTAGGTAAATAGTTCTTACCAAATATATGGTAGATTTTTAGAAATATATAGCAGTCGAAATGGAATGAAATGCTAAGTTTTAAGGGTATCATTAAGTTTACCAAGTTCGGCAAATTAGGACGAGAAGCTAGAAAATAAGTTAGTTAAATTAATAACTATTTTGGATAAATTATGATAGAATTTATAGAGCCTAGATTATCCAGTTTGGTCWAGTTTTCATCACTGATTTTTTGGTATAAAAMACTTTTCTWGCTTTGAGTAATATTGCTTTGAAAATAAGTGTCTTTTAAATAACATTTTCACTTAACTGACAAGGTTATTGACTAATTTAATATGTATTGCTATGAACAACAATTCAAAAATGTGTCAACTTTTCCTAAAAAGTGAATTAATATGACACCCAAATGTGAAAGCTAGTCACTAATCTTGACATGWTGAAATATGCTGTACGAGAAAAAAGAATTGCAATTAAGATGAACCAAGACTTACGATAATCGGTTATAAATTTTGTTTTTTAATAGTCCTTTTGTCATTATAAGTTTACATTTTTTTATTTTTTTATTGCAAGTTTTTAATAATCTTTTATCGATTATCAGTTTTCACGATTTACAAATTGATTCGTCAAGAAACTAAAAGAGTTTGAAAAGCTCAATAATCCCAAGTTATTCTACAAAAAGCCCAATCGTTTCGCGTTACACCCTTAAGTTTAAATAAGCTTTTTTTTCTACGCTATTGTATTAACTATGTTATTATCAATAATCAGCATTCGAGAATAAGTTTATCTTGAGCTATTTCTGCTTCTTTATTAACTCAGGATTTTAAAACCGGATAGGCCTGTTCCAAACAACATGCGTCGAATTCAAAATAAGTCAACTACTCACTACAAAGTGGAGTAATTTGCAGTGAATAAGGCACTTGTTGTAGATAATAACATAACTTGAAAAAATTACCTTGCTGCTTTCTCACTTTYATCGATCAAAGTCAGTGGATTTCTCAATTTAGTAGTAAAAGTTCGGTGCTGTTTGTTTGTCGAGGTACTTAACTTCCCAATCATAACGACAGCGGCCAAGACCGCATTACTTGACCGGTAAACTGATTGTTCCCAACACWAAAAGATATTTTTATATCATAAATATCATTTACAGTTTCTATTTTTTAACTACAGTAGCTCACACCTCAACTTAATAATGGTTTTGCTTCCTAATCTGAATTCCACGGGAAAAACAAGTATCTGCCTTTGTCATTGATTACACAGACTTCGAGAGAAACAACAAACCTAAAACGTCTTTTGAAAAATTGCATTGTATGATTTTCACTTCGATTCATTAGAAACCAACTCTCTAACCTAAGTGGTTGTTTTGTCACTGACTTAAGGTCGCTTTAYCCTGTTTACAAAATCAATACAATGTCACAGCAACTTTTGTAAGTTCTTAAGAGACTTCCGTTGTGTTAAGAGCATCTTTATCAAGTMGCATTAAACGCACCCTTATCAGTAGATTATCCTTGGTGGGATCGCTTGAACAATCAATTTAGTATTAAACAAAAGCTGCAATATCCGAGAACCGACACCTTATTAAATCGGGCTGTTTTCATTGTTCTTTGAAATAGTTTGGCGATGAAATCAGTGACTRRGGCTATTGTAGTACTAAAGGTGTGTAAGTCCCATGGGATAAAGTCTCGCTTTAATAGAACCAAAGCAATAAAGTCTAGATATAACGTAAGARCTTCACGGGACGTTTTGTGTATGAAAGATCRTTTACAGCTAGCTAACACGCTTTAGTTATTCGAGGTAAGTAGAGTTGTTGACTCTGACGCCTAATGTGTGATTTTCAATCAGTTTATTTTATACTCAGTCCTTACGTTGGACCGCAAACATGACAGTTCAATAAGCCAACTAACGCATCAGATACCGTAATTCTAATTCCTTACCTTTAAGTTGTATTTGACCTGTTTGTATTCTTTATGATTTGTATATAACCACAGTTCCGGGCGAATTAAAACCATTTATATGAAAGGACTTAAGCCGGATCACTATAGTGCCACATAAGGAGAGCCGTGTTGAGTTTGCCAACGTATCCGGGTCACCGTTTTGAACTTTGAAAAAAATCTGTTGCAGTTATGTTACATTGCTTATTGTTTTCTGACCTTCGAATGCTTTCAGGCAGTACATAATTTCACACTGCATTGCGCGGTAGTTACACTGGAAGCTCTGGGATATTCGAGACGYTATRTTTTRCCTTCTTTTAAACGATTATAGTTTGCGGTTAAACGTGTTTATTTCATGATAAAGCGATTTATTAATAGCAATGTCGACAAAACCTAAGAAAGATTCCGATAAACATTTAAATATCATTTAAATTTTTAGAGCTAATTTTCTGAAAATAAGCCACAAACCTAGAAGCGTTTATTAAAAATTGCCRAGTTTCAGAAAATTTAAAGCTATTTTTRTAAATGATCTGAGCTGTTTGTGTCTTGTCTGTCAGCATTAGCTTGAATTTCTTTGTCTTCAACTTCTATTTTTTGACGTTGGAATTATTATCTTTAATTCTAAACTTGTCTTGTTTTTTGATTATTGTTAAATTTAGTTTATAGATGTTCTTGTAAGTTATATCTTTCACGCTATTACACTACCTTGCCTAATGTAAATTAAAGTATAAACATTTGTTTACAAGCAATTGTTTTAAAACTCAAGTGAATTTGCATTTGTATCTAGCATGTATGATCTTGTAATTGAATGCTAGCACTTCAAAAACTTGTTCAGCACTTGAGCTGTTGACATGATAAGGGGGCTGTTAGATAATCTTATTTCACAACATCCAAATAACTGGATTATGGTGTACTTAATTATGCGATTAAAGCAAGCATTAAACCACAAATTAATTAATTAAATTGACTCCGACCAAAGTCAAAAGTTACGTCGGAGACGTGAGTAGATTTTCTCTCCTTTTTGTATGAATTGTCATTAGGAACATTACATTACATTACATTACACTCAGGCAACCTTACTACAAGCTGATGAACACGACAGATTATATTTCTCCGGTAATGCRTCCCAAAGTGTAACAAGAAATAAACTGCCACTGAGTATGCAACAAACAGCTCAAAAACTCATTGAAAAAGCCCTTGCTATGGATTCCGAAAATAATTCGGCAGCATTGCATGTTTGTAAATAGTTTCTGGTCTACAGAAGCCATTGTTATAGAAACAAAATGTCTATTAAATGGTCAAAATGTTATTTGAAGCTWGCCGAATCAATTGTTCTATATCTATTACAAAAAGTACCGACTCGCTAAAAAAGTAAATTACAATAACACAATCAAGGATCCTATCTGGTAGCACACTTTACCAACAAGACAAACTTGAGTACCATTTCCAAACCAATAACCTTCAAACGTTTGTTACCAAACAGGAACCTATCGTGAGAAGCCATTGATTTGCTTTGTGCCGGCGATGGCTGAGACATGATTGTCGGTAGCCCTTTGTATAATTTTATAATTATTACAGCATTTATTATGGCATTATTGGACTTTGTATGTCCACATACTGATCATAGTTGTTATTACATTTGTACACAGGAAACTAGGACGTCAAGCAATCTTCCAATTTTCAAGGATGCAGATAGTTGCAATCCAGTCATTCCTGGYCGTCGTTTTGTGTGTGGYTCCAAGCGTCTTGTCCAGCCAGTGGATGTAAGTATCGCTTTTTAATTGAAATTAATTGAACGTTTTTTGGAGTAGTCCTTGTGGCGATTGCAATTGCTTGAAACACCAATGCTAGCCGAGTTACTGAACTGAACTATTTTTCATGCAGTAACTTTATTTTAATGAGTGCTTCCTGTTGGTTTTTGCGCGAAAACAACCGCGGGGGCCATGTCACACGAATACTTAAGGTTTCAATGCGTAGGAAGGTGCAATAAAATGTGATGAAAGATGCAAAACTGCCTTTTATTATGACAATCAATAACAAGTATGGCCAGAAAGATTAGTAGTGACTGCAGAGAAACTCACGTCAGAAATATAGCAACGAAAGCGACTAAATCTGGAAACAAGGACAGTCAAGAAGCAAATGTGCACACCAATTTGTTTGTGCCGCGTTTCCACGAATTTCAAATTAAGGACCAGATACCAAAACAGTTTCATAAACCAGGACAATATGAAATAGTATCGTTCTTCAGTTTCACAATATTTTCAAAGTTATCACTATAGAAATGTCGATTTGTTTGTTTTAGTAGTGATRGAATCAAGCTCAGTTAAGTGTACTTGTCTGATCTTATCGAAACTTCGTACAACTGCAAAAACAAATTAAGATGAAAATTGCAAAACTTTTCATTTCATTGGTATTTTGCTTTTGGGAGCTATGAGCTTTCGGCTATTCAGACAAAGTTCTCGAACATCAAAACAAAACTAGCGTTATCAAATTTGATAAATTCAGGGCTGGCTATGTAATCTCAAATGCAAACCATCATTTAGATCCAATTGATATATAACRCGCACTTCAATTGGCTAATAAGTTAAAAAGGCATGGTTTGCCCTTGTGCGCTCAAGAAACGCTGAAACGGTTTCGTAGAAGAAATTTGGAGATGCAAAGAGATCACTCGCTCCGCTCTCCATCTCCCACATTTTTACATCACGAAAACAGACACAAGMACGTTCGTTCTATATTTTTAAGTTTAGTGAAAAACGTTGAGATAGCTGGTTCAGTTGTTGTCTGACTTTTTCTGATGGAATGACTGACAGTCTGACTGACTAACTGGCTTGCGGGATGGCTACTGGCTGAGTGTTGGCTGGCTGCTGATTTTACTTTCTGTCGGAATGACTAATAATTTGATTGACATACTGTTTTGTTGACTGGCTGAGCGTTGGCTGGCTGAATGACTGATTATACTTTCTGTTTGAATTACTGACAGTTTAACTGACTCACTGGGTGACATTCTGATGGAATAACTGACTCCATCCAAAGCTAAATTTACCCTTAATTTTCTTAATAGATCCCTAGCATTGACAGGCAGCAATCCCACACGATTTAAATCCAAGAAAAATTGTGACGAAATTGGTCAACTACTCAATCATAAACAGGTTCAAGTATGCAAGAGAAATATCGATTTAATGGACAGTGTCAAACATGGAGCGAGTGTCGCACTCGTAGAATGTCARCAACAGTTTAAATACCGACCTTGGAACTGTACCACTGTACAATTTAGCAAATCACCTGTATTTGGAAATTCAGTGAATGGAGGTAAGTTTAGCAAGTTGACCAATCCCGATTCATTGTCCTACCTCCATAGTTACTGTTGCTAGGTCGGGAAAGCGAAAATATTCCTTTGATATAGAGCATGAAAAAGGATACCGATTGCTGCGATATCTAGATAAGTAATTTTCAGTTTAATCTTTACGATGTATCTTAATTTTCAAACGTAAACAAAGCTCGAAAGGGATGCCCGGGGACCATGGTTCTTTAAGTAATGTATACAGAACGAGAGAGCGTGTTGTATCGGGTGATAAAGATCCGAGCCGAAGGCGAGGATTTTTAGCCCCGATACAACACGCTCTCGAGTTCTGTATACGGCTTATCAAACTTTATAATAATTCTCTTTTTAATGTTTTTGAAAAATTGAATATCTTGCTGCATTTCATCGATTAAAATTATCACCGTATGTCGCCGTTATTAAATATTCGTCGAATATAACTGTTTGTATGGCGCCATTGTTTCATGAAACGACTGAACTACTATCAAGGGAATTTCTAAATGATTAATTGAAAATTGGAATTGTCACATTAGAAGCTTTTTATGCTTACTCCTAAAAATTGTTGAAAAAAACGAGGTATAGCATTTTCAGGGAAAAATAGTAAAATTAATAGAGAATCGGACATAAAAGTACTTTTTTGTTCGTACTTTTCTTATCATTCAAAATAGAAGGAAAAAAGAAAAGCCTGAGAAACCTTGATGGCAAAATCTGGATTCATTTTTGACTCTTTTTTATACAGTACAGTTACGAAAAGAGAGAAATCGAGCCTTTTTAAGATAAAAAACGTTTTTTTTTTCGTTTCATCTAGTCCGTACGGGAAACAATGGCCCGCTTTTTAGCCAATGAAATCGTGTGTTATATCCGAGCTATATAATAAATTGGTCTACGTTTTCAACGCTTACGTTTGTTCCGTAGGTACACGAGAAGCTGCCTTTGTCCACGCCATATCATCAGCCGGTGTTGCGTACGCTGTCACGCAGGAGTGCAGCGCTGGAAGACTCGGTCGTAAATGTGGATGCGATAGCAAATATCGAGGCAAAGCCAACGGAGGATGGAAGTGGGCGGGTTGCAGTGATGATATTGACTTCGGTATTAACTTCTCTGCACGGTTCGTCGATGCACGAGAACGAGGCCGAGGAATTGGCACGCCTGCTCGTGTGAAAATGAATCTGCACAACAACTGGGCGGGAAGACTGGTAAGTAGTTACGTGTTCCTATACTCTACATACTCTTTAAGCAATAGACAACACATTTTCGTGCGTTCCTGGTGAAACACAAAACACGCAAGATGTTGGGAGGACAAGAAAAAGGAGTAAAAAATCTCGAGCAGAAGGCGATAGCTATAATACAATCTAAAGTATAATACACATACAATTTTCTGAAGCAGCGGGCTCTATGCACGGATATTTATACATTTCTGTGGTGGCACTATCGCGTCACGTGGTTGACTCTCAACCAATGAGAGCGGAGATAAATTTGTTGTTGAATTATAATTGACAATTAGACCTCGAGATCGAGTGGACTACGAGCTAATAGCCCAAGAGGCCGAGTGCGCGAGGCCGAATGGGCTATTAGCTCGTAGTCCACGAGACCGAGAGGTCTAATTGTTCTAGTATAAACATACTAATCGGCCAAATAATGAAAACAAATTGAAATATCCTTAAAATAATTTATAATTTATAATTTGTTTATTTTGATTTTCCCGCGAGTGGTCTATCACAAATTAGACCATTAGTAGAGTAGCCAATCACAGCGCAGTATGAGTGATAGACCATTAGTATGTTTATAGTAATATCTGATATGATGAGCTATAAAGTGGATTCTTTTCTTTATTCTTTGCCTAGGCTATAAAGAAGTACATGGAGTTACAATGCAAGTGCCATGGAGTGTCTGGTTCATGTAACATCAAAACTTGTTGGAGAGTGCTGCCAGAGTTCAAGAAAGTGGGCGAATTCATCAAACAGAAATTCGACGGTGCAACAGAAGTAGAACTAAAACAAATTGGTGGTAAACACGTGCTACTTCCACGTGACAAAAAGTTTAAACCTCACACCAAGCTAGACCTAGTATATCTTGTACGATCTCCTGACTTCTGTGAACCTAACCCCAGCACTGGGTCCCTGGGCACTCGCGGAAGACTATGCAATAGAACATCACAGGCAATCGATGGATGCGATCTTATGTGTTGCAGAAGAGGTTACACCACGGTCATGGAAACACGCAAGGAACGATGCGATTGTAAATTTTACTGGTGTTGTAAAGTACGATGCCGCGAATGTATAAAAAATGTTGAAGTGAATTATTGTAAATAGTCGAAGATCGTGTTCAAAAGTCTATACTGTAAATATACGTGGACGATGGACGAAAGTCGAGGAGGGCACATGAAGCTTATAAAGACAGTCCTTCCAATCAGTTGACAAAGGCCTTTGAAGGAATGAGAAGTTTCTTTATGTAAGAAGTATTATAAATGGCGGAAGAACTCCAAAATCCTAGTTGGTTCACAAGAAGCTCGAGATATCGAGAACATTACTTTATTGAAAAAAAGTACTTTATGTGGAATTATTAATGTTAAAGACTGACCACTACGAAATAGCTGAAATCGTATGGACATGAGTCGTTAGGGTAAATGCTCTCTCCTTGTATAAAGTAGTAATTTATTCAAAAACTATAGACACTTAACTATTGAGCATGCGTAGCTGGGCCTCTTCAATAGGGACGGCTACCCAGGCTAATAACGACTGAGCTCTGACAAAAGATGCTGCTAAATAAGCTCTGATGGTACACAAATGAACACATTTTGAATCAAGTAAAAATCTGCTATGACTGCAATTTAATATTGCTGTTTTTAGGTCACAGCGGTCATAGATCTTTGCTGATACTTTCTTCAAAAAATCTCTCATTAATCATCCATTGTTCAGTGCCATGTACACGTTCATTTGCGAAATTTCGTTTCTTGTAGTTTGAATATCAATTTCACAGTRACTTTGCAAATTAGCTCAAACAGTAAAAAAATGTAAACACCACCTATTGACTATATTCTTAAAATTCTAGTACAGGTGAGAATAGCCTCGAAACTATGTGTAAATTGATTGTTTATTTTATTGTTTTCTATTCTAGGAACGAAGTATTTCCCTCCTATACTGGAATTTTTAAGAATATTCAATGTACGACAATGAAAATAGTTTGAAATCTCACGAATTTTATCCAGATTTCTGCATATTTTGCACACAATTGATCAGTCTATCACAGCAAAAGAGATCGCGAAATTCAGCTATTCCAGAGCATATATTCACAGTGTGATACGTTTGATTGACTCTCATTAACATTTTCAACGTGGTGCTTCGAGGCACTGATATTACGTTGGCGAGAAAGTATATACAATTTACTGAGCTCAACACCTCGAACTTCACAAGTGCCGAAGTCATGTAAGGCAAATTTCTTCATGGTTTCCCTTTATCTGTTTGGATTGAATGAGGCAAATGTGAGAAACGGCGATCGAAAGATCCATAAAAATGTTGGCGAACACTAGAGCTAGATATCATTCTTTGAAAATACAGAAAAACGTAAGAGGACACCAGTGCATTCTGGGGGAGGACAAGTGTTACAAGAAAAGTTATGTTAAAATGATAATAATTTATGTCTAACGATCGACAAAACGATACAATAGTGTATTGAGCATGGTAGAAGTGTTTTAGATATTAATTCGTAGCGTGTCACGTGGTCCTTGGTAATCCCCATATTTAGAAACTTCTTATAAAGTAATATATAAGAAYTGACAACTGCTAATGTAATAATTATTAAATCATGAATTTATTGAGGCTGTTGGATGTTTGGTTGTAGAATGAAGAAGTAAGGAAGTGTAATGCGAGAAATAACCGTAAATCCGTTTTTTTTGTTTGTTGTTGTTTTTTTGCATATCAAACAATTGATTCGGAGAAAAATTCATTCGCTTGCCAAACTTGCTGACCATATATGGTAATCTTAGCTTATAAGGAAGTACGTTAGAAAGTTTTTTCCCCGTTTTTTCCACCTTTTAGTGCTTTAAAAGGGCTAAAACTTACAGAATTTGCAGAGAAATTACTTTTCAACACGTCGTCCATTAAAAATTCGTCCTAGTCCCCTCCCATCCATGGAACTAAGGGCGCTTTCYATTTGTCAGAACTGGCTGGCCAGATCCAGAGAAAATGTCATTATATATCATTCCTATTTAGTCGCGAAATTCAAATTTTCAAATTCTATCCATTCTATAGAAAACCTCGAAATGACTGAAAAATGTTGACAAAAAGCATAATATACCTCTAAATAGAGCGGACTGGCCGTTCAGTTCTACCTAAATGGAAAGCACCCTAAGAGATCCCACAAAAAACACAGATAATCCGCGCGAATGTTATACAATTGTCTGATATGGTTTCAATTCAAGTGAATGAACAGGAAGTTTCCAGAGGAAAGGTTTCAGCGTTTTTATATATATTTTTTATTCTTTTTTTTATTAAATAAAAAAAAAACATTTGTCAAAATTATCAAAAATAGTTATTTTATCATTTTGATCAACCAATGTCGACCTCCATTTTGAAACTAACTTCTCTGGAAAAAGTCGMTAAAAGACGCTGGGCTACCTGTGTTTAACAATTCATTCGTAAATCTTGTCGGTGACGTCATCAGCCCCGCAGTACGTTGGTAGCTCTCACTTCCAATGAAGGGATCCCAACGTATCCAACCATCAGGAGCTATGTTTTGACCTTTACCWTGACGTGTTTACAAACTTAAGCTCCTTTCGGATACGTACTAATCAGGAAATGCATCATGGAAGAGAGGGCATACCAATGGTTTTGGCGGGAAAAAGCCAAGTGATCATGAAGCGAGTGGCAAACTTTCTCTATTATTTGCAAGGGTTAACTAGTCCGGCGATCGTGTGTTTATTAAAGTAACAACGGGAAACACGCGAAAACATGAGAATGACAAACGACAACCTGCTAACATAGTGCAAAATGAAAAAACCGCGCGTTTTCCGAAAAAGTGTTCCAGCTACAGCTACAATTGTAGAACGTATCCGCTAGTATTTTTTGGGAACAATTTCATTCTCTTGGTCGCCCATCTCACAGAATCTTATTATCTCTTGTTTGCTATGTTCAATGGTCGTACGTTACTAGCATACTCAGCAGTGATAAATGRGATTAAATTATTAATGTGGATTAATGAACGTGCAAACTAGTCTCCTAGGGGAGGGGGGGGTGGAACTGTTTTCCCCTACGCTACCATCCCTTCCCGGCATACTCCGGCCCCATAGAGCAGCTATGCAGGCTAGTTTCCACGCTCAGGAGTTTGCATCAAAAGATTCCGACTTACGTTAATTTAATGTTGGGATCACACTTTTATTTATTGTTTTCTTGCAATAATGATGACCAAATTTTGCGCAATAYAAGCATTATTATCACACGGAATGCTCACGTACGTGTATTCATTGCTTCTGATTTAGCTTCTAGACTGCACGTTTATCTCCAGCGCAAATCTTACGTACGTAATTTAAAGTTTCGTACCTACTCGGAGCCGTATCAGTCTTACGTACGTATCTCTAACTCGTTTACGGYCTCTAAGTTGACGGTTCTTAACGGCGTAAATATGCTATGAAAACGCAAGAGTTTTAAGAGTAAATACGTTACACATTCGCGTATGCTCTTTCCAAAGTCTAACATTCCAAACTCTGGTACCCAGAGTAGCGCTATTGTGTGACGATATAAAAGTTTCTTACGTTACATGTCTGACTTAAGAAAAACAGCAGCTGAACGTAACGAAAAATGCTCCTTTTACATCTCTTAGGGATGACGAGCATGCGTAGCGTAATTAATCGCCTCTTACGTTTATACGTCTGAGTTACGCGCAAGTGGTACTTATTAATAAAACCTTCATTACTTTGGATGTGTTGAGATTATGCGCATTTGTGACGYAAGAAAGTCCCTTGCAATACACGTTTGCCATATGCACTTGCGTTACGTAATTAACACTTTCTTACGTTTGTTTGTTTGACTCAATCCTACGTACTTGCGTTATACGCACTAGCTTACCAAATAATGAAAACGTCGAGTTTTCGCGCACGTATCCAATACGTAATTTTAAAGTTCCTTTTATTGCACGCCTGGCTCTCTCGCAAGCGCTATTTTTCTTTTTGGCGCTCGCGAATGCGTTACGTAATTTATATAATGTCCTTGCGTTATGCGCTGGGCTCACGTCCAAGGATACTTCAACACATCAAGATTTCGTGTATTTCGCTAGACGGCTGCGTGCTGTTAACTGCACTTCGCTGTTGATTTTTGAAATTCTTTGAATTCCATTTCCTTTCTTGAATACAAACTTTCCATAAATACAAGATAAATTCAGTTGATCTATTTGCTTTAGAAGTTGCTCTTGACCTTATGGAAATCCCGTCGACACGTTAGACATAGCTTGAAGTAAACAGTTATAATTCATTGAACGCAGTGTAGCGGAYATCAATCATAGTGACCCKCTTGATGGACTGATTTGCAGCCATTCACAGCCCTGCATGTCAGATTGAAAACCATTCAAGTGCTTYCTGTCACAGCCATCAAGAGCTGTCAATCAGCCGTGTCATTCACCCACGTCATAACTACCGTTCTACTGCGACGCGTGCTACTATCTATATGCCACTCTTAGCCCGTACGCTCCCTCGCTGTACTCACACATCTTCAATAACACAACTACCATACCAGCTAACTATTTGGAGGAAATCATGGACTGGAAAAGGTACAGAACGCATTTGTGTGTTTAGTTAAGGAGAGAATCAGACGTTTGATTGATTCATTGCYTGATTTGACCGTTTGATATGCGTATCTCGTCAGCAACTGAGTCCTTAACTTAACAATGTGTTTCTCCTTCAGGTCTGTTTACGCCATATTGCTTATCAATCTCTCCTTGGTTGATTTATGTGGTATGTAATGCTTTAAACTATGCCTTGAATTCTATAAATTTGTAATAATACAATGGATGTTTTTAATAGTAAAGTTGTAAAGTTGTCTCGTTAAGGAATGTGCCTGTGCATAAACGGAAGTGRTTCAAAGGAAATTGCGTATTACATGGTTCCTTCTTTAGTATRTTGTTCTTAGGTTTTTACGATTAGTACTTTTACTGAAACACCAACTTTAACCTAAAGCTATTGTTGTGGTTTGTTTTCATAAAGGGGGTCTAGGCTTACTGTCGTTAACTCAAATATACGTTTGTGGTAATAGCTACGTTGTTCGGGYTAGTGTTACTACAGGATGCTCTATTCTAATTGTGGACTCAATGTGTGAATTACTAGTAAACAGCCTTAAAGGTTAGTTAGGTATAAACATTTGATAAAACCTTAGTACTCAAAGAAAAGGCATATATAACAAGCGATTTATCCGCGTTCCAACATCACTTGCAARGAATAAAGCGGTTTATATAAACCGAAGAACATTTACTAAAAACAACACGMAGAACTGTAGCCTAAATGTATTGCTTTGCATTTGTTTTACTGATTATTTTACAAAATCATTCATTCTAGTCACAAAATATTAACTCTTAGATGATGACAATCATCGTTTATTCTCAAGATGAACTGATTTTATTTCTTCGAGTAATTTTTCGTCTTATTTATCAGTATATTTTACATTCTTTCAATAGACTCCTTGACAGTATTGCAAAAACATGACAACTGAGTTGATGTGGGACCAAATACAAATCTATCTTATCAGATAGTCAATATTTTCAACACTGTAACATTACTTGTGTTATCAGATCCTTTTAGGAAACGTGTTAGGTAATTCTCTAGTTTTGGCGGGAAAGTCGTCGAGGTTATTTTTTGTCACCCCTATTAAGCTAAAGGATTRGATTTCAAGGATCAATAATAGCAAAAGTCTAGACGGATAGTTGAGAGGTGAAATGAATATGGAAACAGATCTCGAATTTTCTGGAAAGCATAAAAACTAGAGAGCAGAGRGRTAGACTTTTAATGTGAAARATTAAAGCAGAAATACTTCTGTTATTTCTTTGAACTTCTTGGGAATACATTAGCATTGCATTATGTTCAGCGCATTATACGYCAAAGGTTAATTCCTCCTCAATCGTGACTTCAAGCTTTAAATGAGAATTTATCTCTGCATGGAAGCACCGCCAGCATTAGTAAATTTCGCTATTAGCGCGGCTAGTAAATCACCAACTTGTATCAAGCAATGTAGTCACTCAATTGTAGTTTTCTTTGGCCTCATGTATTGGTCTCAACTACAGATGTTTTGTGTATCAAGCTAGTTCTGTTTTACAGTAGAGGTTATGCACATTTAGTACTATTTGCCAAGTAAACTTATCTATCATTATATCGTATTATATTATATCGTATTATATTATATCGTATTATATTATATCGTATATCTTGGCATTAGCTTAAAACATTTTAATTTCTCTAGGAGAGTTGCAATATAGTGATTCGAGTCCACTTTTCAAGATGGCGGACGCATTTTTCTCCAAAACTCTCGATGCCTGTATTCGGTGAATGTTGCAATTCATCCTTTGTATATAAATCCACTCCCCTATGCTGGTAAATAGAATTTTTGAAAGTGAATTTGTATTTCGTGTTTCTATAAACACTTCAGCATGTTTTTGATGTACACAAAGTTTGGMATAAGTCAACAACTAGGAATTCACCTTGTTCCCCAGCTGGAGATATCCCAAAAGATTACTATTCCCCTTTTAAGGCGTGGATAGAGAAAGTACTGGGCGTTGCATCCAGCTTTTGCCTAAAAATATCACAAGATAAGCTGAATAGCACGAAATTATGAAATAGGTCAGCGGATTTCTCAGTGAAGAGTGTTATAGAAGGATGAAAACTCAATACATCAGCACGTCTTCGAARTATTTCATTATTATCAAGCAATGTCTCGTGCATACTGTGAAAATTTACGTTGACCAGCTGTTTTTAATGACGCATAATCCGTGCCCGTGTACCCATAATTCCTTTCGGTTAAGCACAATAGATCTGCCAGAATCAATTGCAATGTCTATTCAAACGTTTACATATAGCCTTGGAAAGATTTTTTCTTTATAATAGAAGTGGAATTCAATTGGCAAGAATTCATCCAGTCTCACTGGTCTCAAAAGTCTCAAAGGTCAAGTTTGCGGAAGAACYTCATTGATTATGTGGCTAAATTGGCGTTGCTTTCAGCATTCAAGGAACTTATTTTCCATCTACGAATTTCGCGCTCTGATTGGCTGGGCCGCATCCGGTTTTTCACCAACAAGCTGCTATACAGCACGATGACCCTTATATCAGCGTGTAAAAAGACGAATAAGTCATTCACCGGCTTAGTGTTGGTCCCAATAGCTGAAAAACTGCCCTGTGGTCTGTCCTGGTCGCGACATGCGTCCTTATTCTTTCCACTAATACGTCTGGCTGTTTTTTTAGTCCACGTATCCCCGGTTAAATAGCATAATATGCATGTCAATGAATGGGTTGGGAGGGGGGCGGGGCAGTCCGACAAAGTTTTGTTTTGATTTTTGATACTTGATTTGTCATGCAACACGGTTTCATCCAAGTCGAATGAAAAGTATCAATTTGACAATTAGGCCTTATGTAGTAGCTTCCTGGTATTCATATTAAGTATATAATATATATTACATTAGAAAATGATCGAAAGCATACAATACAACATTTATTTTTCACATAAATAAGGAAGGAAAATAACAATAATAGAATAATTTAAAGAAGATGTGGAGGACGCGCGGGAAAAACCAAAGCTCGATCAGCGCTAATTCTGGGTTAGATATCATTAAAAAAATCTATGGAGTTAAACCTGAATTAACGCTAATCGGGCTTTGAACAACCCGGCCCTGAAGGTTAAAGAAGCTCACACAACCTAGTAGTTAAATTGATAAAAAAATAGATAATAATAACAATTATATTCCATTTGCCTTCATCTCAGACGTTTGAAGTATCATCCGACATGATGAATGAGTCRTTTTAAAACATGGCTGCGTCATTACCAAACATCACTTATATTCAGTCGCAAATAATTTAGTACCTGTATCCTACGAACTCTTAACGTAGTTTTGAATTCTCTAAAAACACTTGAATATACAATTGTTAATTGAGCTTCTGAATTTCAAGACGAGCTATAATATTGCCTGAAATATCAGGTGATTTCAAGCGATCARTATATAAGAATTTCACTGAAGTGAATGATCATAATTTCAGCTGGAATATGCGGTGGCAATCTGACTGGCTATTTTGGTGTGATCAAGTCCCCMAGATATCCTCAAACGTATCCCAACTTCGCTCACTGTGTGTGGAACATTAAGGTACAAAAAGGCTTTCGGGTACGAATGAGGTTCACAGAGTTTGACATCGAGCCCTTCTATAAGTGTGAATACGACTGGGTCATGCTTCGATCCGATAACAACTCAACACCGAGGTTCTGTGGTAAGAGAACCAAGTTAAACCCGTACAAACCAAAGATTTTAACGTCACCAACCAACGAAGCAAAGCTTATCTTCCACTCTGATTACTCCAACGAAGAGAAGTACATTGGGTTTGTAGCTCACTACGTTGCTGTAGGTAAATATTGAATGACACTGTTGATATGTGTAAAAGATCTTGAATTATCAATAATACTTCACACACAACCTTCTGAATAAAATCTTTGTGACGTCAAGGCAGCCTCATCTGGAGGACGAAACAAAAGATGTTTTCTCTCTTGGGAACGATAATCCATCGTTTTGTCCCCAGCTGGAGCTGCATTGCCAGATAGTATACATTGCTTGTTTGCCTGAAAGCCGTCTGCCTATCCTCTTGGACTCCAATTTGCCTTGACAGGTTGCCTTGCCAGCTTGAACTGCTAACTYGACTTGCTAGCTTGCTCTGATAGTTTGTACTGCTAGCTTGCCCTGTCAGCTTACCCTCCTAGCTAACCCTGCTAGCTTACCTTGCTATCTTACCCTGCTACCTTGCCCTGCTGCCTTGCCCTGCTGCCTTGCCCTGCTGCCTTGCCCTGCAATCGTCCCTGGTAGATTACTCTACCAGCTTACCCTGCTTGCCATGCTTTACTGTGCTTATAGCTCTTTCATCCTGAAATTTTTCTCTTGTTTTTAATTTTTTCTTAGTTTTTCTTAGTTTTTCTTTCTTTTGCTTTTAATCTAAAGACACTGACGAATGCAGCAGAAGCAAAGGCCAATGTGATCATTATTGTCATAACTATCTTGGTGGCCATTATTGCTCATGTAGAGCTGGCTATAAACTGATGCCTGACAAGAGATCCTGTAATGGTAAGGCGAACTCATTATAACTTGATTGTCCCTTTTCCCATTGTGACGTCATTTTTGWTTAGRCGAAATGCGTCATGGTACTTATAAAGGTATCAAAATAGCAGATTGTACGTTTTATAGAAATAACAGGGGGCACTTGATGAGGTAGCTGCAAAATTTAGAGTGTGTACACAAGGCCACTCACATCAACATGTAATGTTTTCYCTGAAAATAGCCAGATGCTTAGTAGCATTACTTCACKGTGTACTTTTAAGCCCCATAGTGCGTCTAGATATGAGCATACTATGACGCTATAAGGAGAAATTAACATTGTGATTGTGGGGGAGGGTATGGTAGAGCAGACAATATAACAAGAAGTCYYATGTGGGGTGTACCTTAATTGTGTCTCAGGAAAATGAGCCATTTGCATGAAACGGTCACATGGCACTAAATCCGCCATGCTGGATAGCAAAATACCCACTGGGAYGATCAAAACGAAAAAAAGTTTACTTTACATTCTTTTGCCATCCAGTATTGCGGATTTAGTACCATTTGACCGCTTCATGCAAAATGCCTATTACATGACAGATTACATGAACAACTTGTACATATCAAATAACTTGTGAAAAAGAAAACAACGGGTTCTTTATGTTGGCCAGTGGTACAACGTTACACATATGACACAGATGTTTCCTAAGTTTCTATCCTTTGTTTTTAGTTATTTSCAACAATCAGCGATTGACAGGCAGACGAGGAACGATTGTCACACCAGAATACCCAAAGGCTTACCCTAAGAACGCCAACTGTGATTGGTCAATATCTGTTGAGAAAGGTTACCAAGTCACTCTCTACTTTCAAACGGTAAGGAGCATATTTGGTTGACCGTATGATTAGACTATCTGGCTTATTTATTTATATGCTTTCACCACAAGATGGTGTGGGAGACACAACAGAGCTTGACTCAAAAGTGCACCCTTGAAGCTCTGGCCACACCACCAACAACTTCGCGTTTTAATTTTTAATTTTCGCGTTTTAACTGTTTTTTGTTGTTTTTGTTAAAATTTGATTACCAAATTATTTCATGCATACAACTGAAACTTTAACTGGAAAATGTTGTCCTAAATAGCCGGGCTACACTTCTAAATTAATATATCATTTATGGATTCAGCATTCACCTTGTCTTGATCCACTCTATATTTCATTTCACTTGGATGTGACCGGCTGATCATGACAAGACAACAGCGATTTAAAATCGTTGTCCTTTGCAGGGAAATAACTAATTAAATCAAAATGTTCCCCAGAGTTCTTACAAAATATTTTTTTCAATTTTAGTTTGACGTGGAAGACCATCCTGAGGTCCCATGCCCTTATGACTATGTCAAGGTATCGGCGGGAATTGGCCGACGTCGCGGTGGTCCATTGTGTGGGAAAACGTTGCCTCAAAATATTTCTTCATCCGGGAACTACATGCATATACAATTCGTTTCTGACTCTTCAGGCTTCAACAAGGGTTTTAAAGCCTTTTATGAAACACATGGTATGAAGATCATTCAAAAAGTTKCTAGCAAAAGTTAAAGAACCCAGGTTCACCGCCATCATTTTCGAGCTTTTGATTATGTTTAAAAAGTGTAGAAATAACTTACTCTTTATTATCCGTTTGTGCTATATGAATGGARATATTGTAAGATTCGACCTTAAAAGCAACGAATGGAAACGGATGGCGAATGGATATTTGAAGCTACCTCCGTTTTCCAATATATGAAAAATCTAAAGTACGACTACATTGAATGCTGGTGGACCATGGCCTTTCAAAAAGAGTTATCCTAGACAAATTATTATAGAAAAAACATTTGCATGAAGCTCCCTTACTTTCCATACACAAAAAACTAAAACGCGACCGCATTGAATGCTGGTTGAACATGGGCCGGCCTTACAAGAAAAGCTGTCCTAGAAAAATTATTATAGAAAAAAGAAAAATGTCTCAAGGCGACTATTTGAATTCTTAGGTATTAGATGCCCAAAGCAGTCAGCACCTCGCAATGGAATAATGAAAGGAAACAGTTTTTCATTCAAAGATACTCTCGAATTCTCTTGTTTACCTGGTTACCAGTTATTTGGGTCATACATCCGGGACTGTAAAAACACTGGCACRTGGAGTGGTGTCACGCCATCATGTARACGTAAGTCAMGTATTTAGGCACAATTTATTATAATTTAACTTSAAGCTTTTTTTACAAACAATACTTACTGCAAGTCAGCACTGTTTTAAGCATGTTTTATAAACTACTTTCTACTATTGGTTTGAATTTGAAGAATTTCTTTAGACTCTATAATGGCCTTTTCCCGAGATGTTGGTCCTGTAGAACCATAGCAAGGTTTTAGCTACCTTAGTAACAGTTCCACGTACAATCGTTGACAAAAACCTTGGACCATTCCAGCGAATTTCCTCATTTTAAGCAACACCCGCAGACAATTTCATCCCCCCTGACCCCCTAAATGCAATGTTGTCATTGATCATGTTACCATAGTACACAAGCATCCAAAACAAGACCCAACATTGATGAAAGGGGGCTACGGGGAAAACTGTCAAAAAATAAAGGAGAAAAATGTTAGGCTGAAAGCAAATAATTGTACGGTCCAAGGTATTTTGGCAACGATTGTAGTCACATTGGATGAAGAAAATTGCTGAGCAAGCAAAAAATAAAAGGAGAAAGTTGTATTCGACTTTGTTGTGCCTATTAGCCATTTCGGAGTTATGAAATAAATTGTAATTTCTGTCATATTGAGCCAATCGAGCCAATCGGTTTGTTTCGTGATTAGATCAATATTTCTTTGATTATTGCCCAGTCCCCTGCGCAACTCCGAAATGGCTAATTCAGGAATTATCTACGAAGGAATCAAGAAAACTTGAAAAAAATACCAAAGATAAATCGTTATTAAAACTGTGAATGCAGTGCCTAAATTGCATTCGACAGAAATAGGCTCTATCTGAAAACATGTAAGTTTGTAGTAAACACTTTGCAGCCAAAATGATTATCAAACCGTAACGTTGTCGCTTGCACAGCAATTTTCTACATCTATTGTGAACACGAGAAAGCCAAAGCCTCGATTTGATTCTACAAAACCAACATCTTGGCAAAAGGCTATTGATATTTACTAATTTATGTGAGGAATTTCCATTTGCTCAGCATATGAACATTTTATACTCATAACAAAAACTCCTGCCAGTCAAAAGGAAAAGGCTTTATCGGCTTACATTTCCATATACGTAATGACCAAATTCAAGACCTCCGATCTAAAAATACAAACTTTTGTCTCTGAGAGTTCCACACGGCAATGAGTTAGACGATTTGGTCAACTGTTAATTCCAAGTGTCCAAATATTCACCCCATTCGCCAAAGAAAAATCTTTTGTATTGTTCTAGTTTCCTCAAGAGCATTGAAAACAATGGAAGCGGCTTTAAGGGTGATGATTGCGATGATAATATGGACGCTAAACCTAAGAGAAACTAAAGTCTTGTTTCCTATTATTTTTCYAGGGCGTTCTTGTGGTCATCCGGGTATACTT